TGCGCCCTGCTCTGGTGGAGCTTATAGTCTAGAGCAGTGGTTCTCAACCTGTGGGCCGTGAGCCCTTTGGCGGTCGAACGACCCTTTCCAGGGGTCGCCTAAGACCATCCTGCATATCAGATATTTACATTATAATTCATAACAGTGGCAACATTACAGTTATGAAGTAGCAATGAAAATAATTTTATGGTTGGGTCACAACAACTTGAAGAATTGTATTAAAGGGTCATGGCATTAGGGAGGTTGAGAACCACTGCTCTAAGGGCTACTGCTACTTCTACCATTTAGCCTGGAGTGTGATAAAGGTAGGTCTTATGAATATTCCTAGATAAACTTATTGTACTGCCTTATCAGTATAACAATGGATCCAAGTCAAAAGCTGGTGAGCTGAGGTGCAATCATACCACATCTCAGGGTACAGCAGTCCTCCCTTAACCACAGTTTTGCTTTCTGTGGATTCAGTTACCTGTAGTCAACCATGGCCTGAAAATAGTAAATGGAAAATTCTAGAAATAAAAAGTTCATAAGTTTTAAACTGTGTACCATTCCAAATAGTGTGGTGAAATCTTACACCATTTCATTCTCCAGCTCATAAATCATGCCTTTGTCCAATGTATCCACAGTTTATATACTGCCCACCCATTAGTCATTTAGTAGCTGTTTAGGTTACCCGATGAACGGATGAACCCTTGTGGTATCACAGGACTTATGTTCAAGCCTAATGCTACATCACAATGCCTGTATATTTACCTCACTTCAGCTCATTACACAGGCATTGTATCGTCTCACATCATCACAATATTTTGAGATAAAGAGACCACATTTAGACAAGTTTCATTACAATATATTGTTATAATTATTATTTATTAGTTCTTATTAATCTCTTACTGAGCTTAATTTATAAATTAAACTTTATCATAAGTATGTGTGTATAGGAAAAATATAGCATGTAGAAATTGTTGCTATCTGTAGTTTCAGGCACCCACTGTGGGTCTTAGAACCTAGCCC